CGTAAGATTTGTTAAATAAAAGGGAACTCTTTAGCTACAATGTATCAATGTTATGTTATAAAACAAATGGTAAACACCACAGCGTACACTATTGAGTTATGGATGCACTTGGGAGGTTTGCTAAGCACTCAAGAAGCTAGAGTCGCTCTCGGCTATCGCCTCGAGCGACTCTTACGCTTCTTTCGTGCTTAGCAACCTCCCGCGTGCATCCATAACTCGATAGTGTACGCTGTGGTGTTTACCATTTGTTAATTTGAAAAGCGATTCAACTTGTAAAGAAGTAAACCTCGCACGCAGAAAACCTCGCACGCAGAAAACCGACAAAGATTCACTTGATAATTTCAAGCGTTTTGTTTTTCGTGTGGGCTTGCAATTCATAGACAGGTAAAAACGAGCGATATAATATCCCGACGTTTCGGCGACTTCGTGACGCCATTATCAAGGGTACAAATGAAAATAAAATTAACAAATGCTAGTTCAAGAGTTACAACTAATTTACATAGGGGAGGTAGCTACACAAAGTCGGGATATTATATCGCTCATTTTTACCTGTCTATGTATTACTAAATCTTTGTTATGGCTTGTAATTCATTGAGAAAAAACAATTTGGCCAAAACCCCATTAACGTGCATTTATTAAGCTACTGTCATAAGAATCAGGTAACACCGAAGCGCTGATGAAGGAAATTTGGGGGTAGAAACAGTTTCTTGATTAATTTTCCTTTTTGCATAAGGTAATGAGAAACCAAAAAGCTCCTGCATCTCTCCTTTCGTTAAAATATTCAAGGATAATCTTTTAAGTTCCTGTTTTCAATTGCAAATTGGAGAAACAGCCAATATAAGCTTGTCGATCCTCTTGTACATAACAGCACATTAGCAAAAGATTATACATTAGATAAATAGTCTTTTTTAGGAAACAGGGATTCTGATTCTAGTACTGATAACGATCATTATCCACAAAAGTAGAATTTTGGGTGATTTATGTTAAGTGTCATTTTCTAGAAAAAAAATTGAATAGAAAAACCAGAACAGAACCTTTTGCAATTTGCAAAAAGCTTCGCAATCGACAATCCCGCGTGTAATCAAACTGCCGTTAACTCAAGTACCGAGAGCAGTCGTTAGAAAACTAGCTAGAACTTTTATTTACAGTGAACGAATGCTGCTTGCAATAAAACGATTTCACGCATCAAAACAACTGTCTCAGTTACCACGTAATTGTCGAATATTAAGCTGGTAGGTAGGTTTATGTTTTAAACTATTCCAAGTCCACTTGGATACCGATGAAAAAGTAGCAGTTGGTGCATTGTCGCCAAAAATTAATTAACAAGATCGAACTAGACCGTTCGCTGTTTACTTTTTTCTAGGATATGCCTTTAGGAACCCAACGCTACTTCTAAAAGTCGCCTAAGAGTGTTTTAACTATGTATGTGCACTTACCTGTTGTAAATTCGCCTGCTAGACTTTGCTTTTCACCATGTTCTATGATTTCAATAATCTCCTCTGAGGTAAACTTAGTCTAAAATAACAAGTTTGTTGAGATATCAAATCCAAATGAACGGCAACCAAGAGCAGGTGTTGATAGTCATTAAAATGGCGTTAAAGCGATCCACCCCGTTGTGACAGTTCAACTGATTTTTTGTGTCACTTAGGACCGGGTAAATTGCTTCGTCGTGGGATTTTTAAACGCACCTGTGTGATTGCCTTTACTTAATTCCAAAGATTCGACGTTTTTAAGCAAAATCCTCGTTGTTTTGGTTTAGATGGCGCCAGATTGTCACTTCTCGCGGCAAAACAAGACCACAACGAACAAATTATATAAAACAAAAAAACAAATTTTAAGAAGCATTAAAAAATTTATAGGTGGACTTGAAAAACTGTTTAAAATCTCTACCATAAAACATGGGACAACTTGAACTGAAAAAAACTCAGTTTTAAATAAACAAAATCATTAACACTTTCGACGAAGCAGTTTAATTTGTTTCACCCATCAGTCCCGAATTATTTTCATAAGTGAGAGATTATCATATCATTTATTAATGAGAAGGGATAGTACTAAATACATTCAGTAATCATGAGAAACCATTTACAAAAATGAAACAAATATAAGGTAGTAGAGTATTTTCTAATTGAGTGTCTTAAAACCACCAACGGCCAACGTGACGAAAGGAAATTACCTTTATGAGCCAGTGAGAACTCAAAGTAAAAAACAAACAAACAAACTGCCTAAGGAGCTAGCGGGAAAACGCGGGCTACCAAGTCGATCATAATTGGGTTTGGTTTTGCATCTGATTGGTTAAGAGAGTGGCGCAAGGTTTCTGGACCAATCACAGAACGAAGCAGTGAAAGAAAAATAATAATAAAAAAAAAAACACTGCAATCTCGGGTCACTTTCGACAGTCAGTTAAAAAGAGCTCTAAATGTGAAGTTTATACAGGCCCGAGGCTTATGTTGGCATGTGATGATAATCTCTAGCCAATTGAAGCTTGACTGGAATTGTGGGCAATTTCATCGCGAACGTCTTTTACGTCCGGGTCATACGGTGGTAATCGACTGCGCAGGCGTGGCAAGTTGTCCTAGAACTACTCGCTGTTTTACCATTTTAAGGTGATTTCCATTGTCGTGAACACGACATTAACCGCAGAGGAGTTTTTTTATGACTCAAAAGGAACTAAAGCGCAAGGACATCTGCGCATCTGCGCATTCGATTCAACGGAAATTGAAATCACACAAAATGTCTAACGTACGTAATCTACATGAACAGTAAGTATGTTTATATACCGGGAAATAAAGAGAAATAACTCAATAACCTTCTTTACTTTCAAAGCAACAGGGAACTATAACAGATAAAAGGAACAGGAATTGTGGTAAAAAGCTGAAAGTAATTCAATCTCCTAGAAAATAGCGACGAAAATGAATCTGATAAAGTTCTCATCAACTGCATTAAAGTAAACAAAAAAAAATCTTAAAGGACCAACCAGACAGTCATGGTAGCCAACGAGCTTCCAGAATAAACTGATACGGCTATCTCATTTTATTTAACAACCTTACAGAGATCAAAACACCAAACCACAAATACGCAGTAGAGAAAATTATTCTTTCTTTGCACGCCTGAAGTTTTTTTTTAACCCAGTGACAAGATGATAAAATCTCAGTAGTGACACTTTTCAGTTTTCGTTTCCCACCTTTTAAGATCAGAAAATTGAAATTTGCAGCAACTCCTTGTTTTCCTTTTCCAAGCTATTTCCAGAAAATTACAACTTACTGTTTGCGTGACTCGACAACAAAACTTGGAAACTGACGTGAATATTATATTGTTCATGGCTTGGCATCAATAATTAGAAGTGCTGTTGAGCACGAGAAACTCATTGATCCGTAATACTTCATCATGGCATCCAAACCTTCGATTTTACTTGCGTTCTTTGTCATAACTCTGCTTCCTGCAGGTAGGTACTATTACAATTTCATCATAACTTTGTTATCCCCCGATGGCTTAAGATAGAACAATTCATTTTTATCCCAAATGGTGCCGGCTAAGTGTTTCGTGCCTTGATTCACATACAATGGTCTAGCCGTAATCAAATGTTTATTGATGAAGGACTCAGTAGAAACATCATAAAAAATTTTCAAAACGGTAAGGATAGAAGTTAAATAGCTTAACCTCTGACTGAATTAGGAAAACATACTAAAGTCAGCATTAGTTAACTTGGTTCTAGCACTGATAAAATTTGAAACTAGAACACAAAATAAGTAACAGGTTGTTAATGACTTAAACCGTCAATTGTTTTCTCAGCATATCTTGGTAAACCTTCCTTAGTTTTGATGAGAATTGTTCTAGAAAGAGAGAAGCAAGATTTACTGTCGGTATTGATCAGTTGAAATGTTTGAACTAACCGATTATCATAATTACCGCACGATTTCTACTAATTGTTATCATCTGCAGAATTATGCAAATCCATCGATATCTTGTCAAACATAAAACCAAGGAACAAGATAATGTGACGCGAACGCATATGGCTCGCATAAATTCAATTTAAAAGTTTTGAGTTACACTTAATAATCAGCTGGTTAAATCTAAAATTCACGTCTTGACACGATCAATATTTTGACACAATAATGTTTTATCAGACTTATTCTCTACCTGATATAATTTTTTATTTTCATTCATAAGATATTGTCCACCTGGATGCTCACCATCTTTTTTTCTAGATATATATGCATTTAGCGTGGTTCGACGATAAACTGAGTAGACACGAGCTCTCCATAATCGGATTAAACGATATCTGACAAATTCTAGAAGCATCACCATGGAGAACAAAAATTTTGCGAGTTTTGAGGATTTTTGTCCTTTATGTGCCTGAATAAATTCCACAGTCACGTCACCTTTCTATGGATTATTCGGCGGTATAATTTGGCTCTTGCTATACACATACCCAAGGTTCAATCAGGCATTCCTACCGCGAGTCATTGTAGAGTTTTCACATCTATCCTGCGTAGTGTAGATAACTAATGAATCGAGTAGAAAATAAATGAAATATAATACTAAAAAGGTTTACAATAAAAATTCAGAGATAATAAGTAAATATAAGGTTAACTAATTAATGAATTAATTAATCGACTAATTAATAACATTATTAAATACACTAATATAACTATATACATGCTACTGAAAAGATAGGCTACTAAAACTACATATCAATCGGGAGTATCATTCGTAGAGAAAGAACAAGGCTGACCGTCGTAACTCTTAGGTCAAAATTTCAGATTGTTGAACCGTGGAATGGTCAAAGAGAAAAAAGACAAACACTTGTCAAAAGCCCCCTCATCATAAAGTATTTTCTGTCCTTTGTTTTATTAATCGCATCTGTGGAATACTTACTGGCTCAACACTAATTAGAGCCATACCCTTTACTGGTGACTCTCTGGGTTTTGTAAGATATTTTATCTGTTCTCACGTGATATTTCTCCCGGAAATGTCTTCCATAGTGTTACTGTCATTGTCATTGTTACTATTATTTGTCATATTACATTTTCTCGATTGTGATTGGTTTAAAAAACTCCCATTTTCCAATAATTCACTTGCCGAGTTGTTATGGGACAGTCTGTTGTAGTTTAAATCAATCAATCGCATTCAAAATTGATTGAAATCAATTTCATAGCGACATTAAACGCCTCCTTTGTCATTCTTTAAATGTAAATTTTTCCTTTCTTTTAGAACTTGGCTATTCTTATTTTCTCGGAAATTGTATTTTTTTTTTTATTAAGTGGTATCATTATATGACTTGGGCTTGTGGAAAACACCATCCGTAGATCTGTCATGAATCCTCAGCAGAACTCCACAAAAAAAAAAAAAAAAAAAAAAAAAGAAAGAAAGAAAGAAAAAAAATAGCGTTCTCAACAATTACCGAAATTTTAAATCTTGTCATAGTCAGCTTAGTGGCTCTCATCAACAGATTCACTCACTATTAAACAACCAAATTTAAATCAGTTTCCAGGAACATCAGATGTAAACAATCGAGCGGTATCTGAAGGCAGCAGCATTTCTGATGTAAATTGACGACTTCTGCTTGAATAAAGTTTTCGTTTCTTTATTTTGTAAGTCATATAACAAACAACTTAATAACCTCGACCGTTCGGTCGTTACGGGAAAATCTCAAACTTCGGCCTAGCTGTAATGACCTTGTTATCGCTCGGTCAATACGGCAAGGCCTAAGTTAGGGATTTTCCCGTAACGACCTCCGCTCATTTTCGGTTATTAAGTAGTTAATAAGACTTCGGTTCCTTCAATTCGTTCTGTAATCATACCTTCCGATTGACAAATTGGACTCCTGCTGCGCGTTCGTCTAATTTTGTTATCACTCGAGTTGGACTCCACTGAGCCCTGTTACTATTATTATCGTTATTATTATTGTTATTATCATTATTACTGATAATGTTACTTGACAGCCCATTCATTGCAGTGTTACCGCTGTGAAAATATCTACAAGATCACAGAATGTGCGCCTGACACTCCTGTGACCTGCGGTAGCTCTAGTAACAGATGCGTCACGGCAAAGCTTTCCTACAAAAGCAACCAGACCGAACGAGGTGAGGTGGAGACGTTTTACAGAACATGTACCACTATGGCGGAATGTAACATTGCCACTGCTCCGTGCAAAGATATTAAGGACGCCATCTGTGAATACAAGTGCTGTGAAGATGATCTATGCAACAACAGCGCTCGTTCTTCGAGCCAAGTCTTCCATTTGCTGGTCTTCGCTTTTATTGGGTTACTTTTACCAGCTTGATCCTTGTAAACAGTGCATTTTCCGGGTGTGTTTTATATCTTAGATATGAACAATTTCAACATTTCCATCTATTTTTTCGCTGAACTACTGCATCTCTCCGTTATGAAATAATCGGTTGTCTTATTTCTTATATTATCAGTATCTAACTTTCAGGACCCATCTTATATCAAATGTAAACATTTAACTTTTGAAAGGAATAAAGAGTAGGTCCGCCTCAGGGGTGACAATTATCTCGCTCAGTGGTGCAAACAAAAAATGTTAGTCTAACTTAGGTTGTTCAGGTCATGACAAGATAATTTTAAATGTTGAGGTATCTTTTAGGGCTGCACATAGCTGAAATGACTACTATCGTCTCAGTGACCTTCTTTCAATTAAAAATCATCTGATATTCCATGCAACTACCATTTATAAGTCGCCCTCGAAAAGATATATATTCGAGGCCCATAAAACACAAGCTACAACTAGACTGACCTCGGTAGTGACTAAATTGAAGCATTCTTGTCTCTTTGGATATGGAAGTTCCTTCCCCTCCCTCCCTTCCTCCTCTCCCACCCTCTGAGCAAAATCTCACCTTCCAGTGATAAACAGCATCCATACAACTGTAAAAACGATAAACATGCCGGCCAAAGCGGCGAAATAGGCAACAATAGCTCAATATAAGCAAAACAAGATGCCGGATACTAGAAAATGAATAATCCTTAAATTAAAAAGTGCATATATATCTAACCATGATATCAGCGAGGTGTGACACCAGAGAGTTTAAAGCCCTGGTCAAACGGCGCATGATAGTAGATGATAGTTGAAGCGCGCGCTTCCGTTTGACCACCAACTATCATCGACTATCACCAACTATCATTCATTTTGAGCTTGTTCAAATTCTTCAGGATAGGCGATGATAGTTGTTCTCGTTTGACCATGCGTATGATAGTTCATGATAGTTTTTGGTCAGCTGTTTTCCCCGAAAATCGGCGAGCTCGTTTAAAATGGCTGCCAAAAGCTCCTCGCGAAGCTCAGCTTCAGCTTCAGAAATTCGTTTTATTCCCAATATAATAATAATGAGAGAAAATATTGAAAACCAAGAATCTGGTAGAAAGCGTCAACTCGCAGGCGAAGAGGCACCGCCGAAAAACCAGCGTTTCACTAAACGTTGAACGGCCGTCGTGATAAATTCATACTTACAAGTGTGTTTGTCTCAAGCCATGTTAGTGTTCACATTTTATGCGGAAAGAGCCTGGAACTAGCTGCTCACGCGACTTTGCTCGCGCGCGACTGCCGCTGAACTATCACGAACATTATTGGCCGTTTGACCATGCGAATGATAGTTGGTGATAGTTGATGATAGTTTAAAGGGAATCAGCTATCATCGACTATCATGCGCCGTTTGACCAAGGCTTAACTGTAGCAAAATCATTGTTTGTTCTATGTTTGTTTGATCTTGTTTGTGATCACTAAGTGGCTATGTATGACGTAACGGAAGTCTGTTATGACGTGCGTAAACGAACGCGTGCTTCGTCCCCAACCATTGTTCATTTCAAGCGAGTTGTGGTTGACCACTCTAAAAGCTCCTTATTTTAAGAGATCGAAAAGGACTGACGTTGTTAGACAGTATTCAGCTGTTCGTAAACAATGATTGATTGTCTTCAGATGTCGATTTGGCTCTGAGCTGTGACTTATGTTGACCTGCTTTAACAAAGAAACCATGTGAAAATGATAATTAACTTTTTCCTTCATTTAGGAACTAGATGCAAACCTGCGTATACTCTAGGCACCGGTTTCATTCAATTTTCACACTTCTTTTTCATGAAAATGTCATACGCATTTGAAAGGCACGCGAAAACCCGAGACCAATTTGCATTAATTAAAGCATGCACTCCTCAGCCTTGATGGTGACTGACTGATCAAACCCGAAATTTAACAACCAATTGCGATACAACTAATCAACCGATGCGGTTGATCGCGGATTAACCTGAAACTGTTTTAGAAAGTTGAAGTTTACAACTTGCTTCAGATCTATCCAAAGCAGGAGTCTTAGTCAGTCAAACCCTATCTCAATCAAGAGAAGTCGTTCGTTTTAAAGTGCTGATAACAGAACATACAACTCTAACCGACGATTTGAAAAATACCCAAACCCTCCAGACCACATAATGAAGAATGTCACAAAAGCAGTTGGAAGGAACAACAGGAAATGACGTATTCAGAAGCGATAACACCGGAAGAAGATGCTCTCCTCCGATAAGTCTCAGGCAAACTTCTTCTCCTTGGTCACAGTTTGGTTTTTGATGGTAATCATTGGCATCATAGAGAACTGAGCTTGCACATTTATCTGCATTTTCAGATGTTGATGAGCTGTCATTAGCTTGCAGGGGCATTTCAATTGGTTCTAACTGATTCTGTGATCTTAAAGATGTAAATTCTGTGAACAGAGGGCCATTCAAATAATCGGTGTGCATTCGCTCTACATTGCCATCTCGATCTTCAGTGCAAATTAAGTGGGCTGGAATGATTACTTCTGTTTCTACATATTCATGCCAACACTTCCTCAAATATTCTTCTTCATTCTTGAAGTTGGTTGACCCGAAGTAGTGCAGCTTGGGACCCTCCTCCCAGAAGTCAGGTTCACTGCAGGTATCGAAAAACTCAACAAACTTATCATCTTGACACCACCACACATCGGTAATCCACGGCCCGCTTTGTTTCTTTCTTTCCTTTAGTTAATCCAACTGCTTCTTCTAATTTTTTTATACATGACTCATCCTCTATATGCACTGGTAGCTCTGTCAATAACTTTTCAATGTGATGTGAAATGTCATGAATGGGTTTACATAGAACAGAAGTACCTCATAACTGCAAGGTTCAAGGATGGCATTGGGGTTGTTATAAAGAAGTGCTGGCACTCTGCGCACACCATGGAGACTCTCATCCAAGAGAAGTTGTAATTCCTTCTTAGTCTTCCCCTCATAAATTCCTCTTTCTCCTAGTTCCAATTCGAGTTCTAATTTCTGCAGACTGCTAAATGCCTTTGGTTTCAGATGGAGAGAGTTCCTCTTTCCTATTGGCCCTTTCATTACAATCTCCTGTCTATCATGCAGTGAGATGGTTTGGCACCTGAAGCCGTAGTCTAGCTCATTCACTCTATCTGCACTAACTCCACAACCAGAGCAGTAATAGTGCCCTCTCTTCTCCTGCCCACTTTCAAACTGCCGATATGGAGAATCACCATGAAAGAATCTTATGATATCTTTTATTTCAATCCCATCTGTGGTCATCAGATTTCTTTGAAGGTGTTGTAGACAGCAAAGACATGTCTCTAAATAGGCCATTTGCTCTACATCACAGCTTCTACTGATCTTGCTACAATATAGACATGAGGTTTCTCAACTTCTTTCTAGACATTGGCAACTTATCCTGACGCTTTCTTGTATTCTTCATCAGTCATGTAGATGGCAGGATCATAAAAGCAGTTAACTGTGAAAATGATGTGGCTAGTGTTTGCAATTGTGGAGTGGTCATGCCATAACTGAAGGTGTTGTGTGGTTGACAATTCTTGCCGGTTGCTTCCTCATTTTGGTGAGTCTATCACCCTGGTTATATTCATTTAATTGCTTGAGCTGCTTGATGACCTCTTCCCTGGGCATTTCTGAGTAGTGCTGATTTTGTTTGTCTTTCATGTACTTCTCATGCATCTTTAGTGTTTTCCTTCTAACTTCCTCTAGAGGTTGCTCCTGTCCTTGCACAGTGAATTTGATGGTCTGAATGTTGCCTTCAGCACTGATGATCATTTTTTCATACTAGGAACAACAAAGCATTTTTATTAATGGAAAAGTTTAATAATAAAATAGCATCATTTTATCGGTGTAGCAAAACTGTTGCATTTACTCCATTGGATTTATCACTGTTTATATTTACACAATGTTATAAAGGGAGTAAGTAAAAGAATCATTTTATCTTTAGAAAACTGTTAAAAGACTTTTCAAGTAGGCATGGAACATGGACTCAGAAGGTAATCCCTGTTTTCACTGACCATTTACTGTAATTAAATATTACACATTCTCAATTCCTGGGTTGTGATCCTTTTGTTTAGCATCAGAGATCAAGGGCTGTGGTCAAAACTGTTATGTTGCAGCTTGTACAGACACTAGTTTCCCATCATGGTTTTTGTTTTTTGTTTGTTTAGCCAGTCAAGCAGATGTAAAAAAGAAATTGATTTCTTCCAGACCCTATATGTTGATAGTGCTGAAAAAAAAAGATAACAGCTCTGGGATCAATTATTTCAATATTTGGTTCAATTTGTGTTACCTCTCTAGCGAAAGGAACTATAAGCTCGCCAACCGTTAATTCTCTTTCCTGAATTTGAAGTTTCAGTTTCTCTTTTAAATCATTATTTGTTTCTGGTGTGGGGATGGAAGTTTCACCACCAAGTCCTTTTAATTTCTTTCTTCTGGACTGTCAGACCTTGGGAAATAAGCCATTCCTGAGCTATCTGGCCGGGTGTTACGAAAACTAAGACCCTCGAAAACCAAGACCTAAGACCCGTCTCAGTTTTCGAGATTACGAAAACTGAGACCCCCTTAAATCGAATCCGTCGAAATATAAAGTCAAATTGTGACCAAAACTGATCTAATCTGTCAAATTATCTCCTGTCCGATCCTTTCCACAGTGTTTTAGGTCAAATTTAACGGTAAATTTAGGGGTTTTACTAAAAGCAGGCCCAGCGACCCGCAACGGCCTGCGACCCAGAGGTTCAGTCCTGATTTTCCACAGCTTTTTTGTCCAGCAGTAAATCCACGCGCATGTACAGATCTGCATCGGGTTTGGGCGTGCAAAATGGACGACAGTGAGTTTGAATTCGTTTTACCCTTTAATCGTTTGAATCCTTGTTTCTGTTTGTTGCACATTGTTAAGATAAAAACGTTTTCATTCTCTGTTTATTAGTGAAAGTATCATAACAACAAAGGAAAAGAAAATATGAACCAGGGGTAAAATTGAAGCACAGCAAAAACAACAAAGTTGAATTTCTTGATGGCGGGGTTTAATTTTTCACTTTTCACCGTGATCGAAAAGTAATCCTTTTACACCCGATATAATGTACCGTATTTCTTCACCCAACCTGGAATAAGCAGCTGCCTCCTCGATGTCCGACAGCGTAACGTCGGCAAATCGATCGGT